CTCTTGTCGCATGATGGAGTAGTCGGCGCCAGTGTCGACCAGAGCTGTAACGTGATGTCCGTCAATGAGAACGCTAAGATCGGCACGTACAACTTCATCAGCATTAGTATTCGTCGTCGTATTCATCGTCGTTGTCGTCATATCTTCTTGCGATAATAGGGGGAACTTTCCGGTGTTTCGACGATTGGCAACTTTGCCCCCGGAGGTCGCAGAAGTTAGTTTCTTGGCGCGGGCTAGGCGAACGGCCTCTGGTGACGTCCGCGTAGCTATGAGGGAAGTCACGGTGACGCGCAGGTGATGGAGATCGCCAGTGACGCGGTGGAGTTGCTTGGCCAGGCGATAGTTGATCGGCATCGTGGGCACGACGGTCTTAAGAGCGGAAGGAAGTGGGAGGAGAAAAGTTTCCGAATCCGGAATCGCCATGACGGCAATAGCGGGTAATGTGACCGGGTTCTCCGCAGCGGAAGCAGATAGGTCGACGGTTGGCCATGCGCCATAAGTCAGTTCGGCGAACTGGTGGTCGTCTCGTAGAATCCCGTTTCCACCAAGATACGGCAGCGGGTCGTGGCTGGAACTGCGTCGCCACAAATGACGGTGGAGGATGACGGACCACATCAGCGTAGCTCACTTGATGTGGCTCAGGACTTGGCGCGGGTGTTGTAACGGCTTGCCTCAAGTCGTGGCGATGATTTCGGCAACAGATGCGACAGGCGGTTGAGTAGGGGGAATGCAGAGGGCCCGAAGTTCCTCATGCAGTATTTCCCTAATCATTTGTCGCAGGGAACTTTCACATACGGCAGTGTTCTGATCTGCAGCACTTACTGCCGTGTGGTTCGGCAGGCGGTCAAAGTGTCGGCAACGTTGTTGTAGTGCGCGCTCGATGACAGTCACCTCTCTTATGAATTCATCTACTGTTGTAGGTGGATTCCGTACGAGGCCCGCAAACACTGGTTCCTTAACACCTTGCATTAGGTGACGCACCTTCTTCGCCTGAGGCATGTCAGGGTCAGCTCGTCGAAACAGACAGATCATACCCTCTGCGCGCATGGCGGCTGTTCCGCTGGGTTTTTGCACGTGGGCCTCAATCAGTTGCTGCGCGCTCCCGTCGGTCCGAGTTCAAAAATTTAGCGAGGAGCTTTCGACGGAAATCTTCCCAAGATTGGAACGTAGCCTCGCGGTTCTCGTACCACGTGCGAGCGCTATCGTCCAGTGCGAAATATGCATGGCCAAGTTTGTGCTGTTCGCTCCAGTGGTTGGAAAGAACGAGTCAAGTCAAGTCAAGTTTATTTCCAACAACATCAAGTCGGAGGTCCTTAGGCGAAAAGATGTCGGAGACATCTTGAGAGAGCCCAAGAACCCGTTCCAGAGCAGCAGGCATTTTACAAAAAAATCGCGTAATTCACTGTACATGCATAAGCCAAAATGAGAGCTTAGTACTTTTTCCTTTTAGTGAACAAAATACATACATAATTTCACGTAGGTCGCATAAATCTTGTAGGCACATGCGCAAAACAACAATTCTTATACAAAAAGGAAAGAAAACATGTAAAAAACATGATAACGAAAGATAGCTAGTGCTGTTTGAGCAATTCCTATGCGTGTAACAACATACTTCGTACATGTTTCTTGAATATACGTTCAGGCAGTTCGAAGTCGATACTGGTTAAGAATTTGTTCAATATTGTTGGTATCTGGTGGTGTAGAAGGCATTCTCCGTAACGTGTGCGAGAAAAGGGAAGTGGTCTTAGTTGATTTCGGAGAGCGTATCGACAGGAGCTGTCAATTGAATGCTGATGAAGTTTGTTTTTCTGAATATAAAGTATTAGTTTATATGTGTAAAGGTCACTTGCTCTAATAAGATCATGATTTATAAAGAGCTGATGAGTACGTAGTTCGCTAGGAAGCCCATAAAATTTTTCAAATATTCTAAGAACCTTTTTCTGTAACGTCTCTAGTTTGTTGAGGTTCTGAGCAGACGTTTTTGCCCATACTAGTGCGCAGTAAGATAACCGAGAATAGAAATGGGCGTAGTATATAGCCTTTTTAAGCCATAATGGTACAAGGTCTGATAACTTATACATGCAGCCAACAGTTTTACCTAATTCAGAGACAAGTTTTGATATATGTATGTTCCATGACATGTTTTCCTCAAACCATACTCCTAGAAATTTTTGCGTTTTAACACATTCCAGCGTGGTGCCTTGAAAGGAGAAATTCAGTGTAATGCATGGCTTATTAGGAGGCCTAAATATAACATATTTTGTTTTACTTGCGTTTAAGTCAAGCTTGTTTTCATGGAGCCACAGTTCCAGGTGTCTTAAATAATTAGTTACAGTAACTTGAAGATCGGCCACTGTATCAGCACTGAAAAAGGCATTCGTGTCATCTGCGTACATGACTAGTTTTTCTGTGTATGGGATATTACATATATCATCTATATAAAGTATAAATAACAAGGGTCCTAAGATAGAACCTTGTGGAACGCCTTGCTTAAGTTCAGTTGCTTCTGACGCTAAGCTTCCGAGTGTAACATATTGTTTTCTATCAGATAAGTAATTCGTAATAAGTTTAAGAGCAGCGCCACGCAATCCATAGTCAAATAATTTTTCTTCTAGAATGTCATGTTTTATGCTATCAAAAGCCTTCCTCAGGTCAAGGAACAGTCCTACTGTATATAGTCTTTTTTCAAAATTGTTCAGTATGACCTCTTTTACGTTTAATAGGGCTAATTCAGTGGACTTTCCTTTCTGGAAACCATACTGAGCAGGGTTTATTATTTGATACTTTGAAAGAAAGTTCCTTAGTCTACAATTTATGGCACTCTCAAATACCTTCGATAGCACTGGTAAAACAGAGATAGGCCTATAATTAGAAATGTCATTCAAAGCACCGCCTTTGTGCACAGGACATACACGCGCAACCTTGAGTTCTGAGGGGAAAATACCAGAAACTAACATGCAATTAATAATATGAGCCAAGGGCTCCGATATAAGGTCCGCAACGTGCTTCAAGGGCGCTGCACTTAAGTCATCAGCGCCTCTTGCGACATTGTTACGTAGTCTAATTATCGAGCTGTGTACCTCTGAAGGTGTCACTGGACTTAGACTGATTGTGTTAGGCTCTCTCGTTCTACGGGTAATCCTTTCTTGCGTACAATGTCCTGAAAGAGGCACATAATCACCAGAATGGGCAAAATATTCGTTCATAGCCGGGTCGTTCGAACAGTTCGAACGACCCGTTCGAACTGTTCGAACCAGTCCTCGACATCCTCGTACTCTTCCTCACGGAAATGTTCAGGAACGCGAGGATGTTCAAGAGTCACCTGCGAAGGAAGAGTGGTCTGCGATGGAAGGATAACCGTGAAAGTCGTAAAAGCTGCCATGCTGGAAAGAGGCAGAACAGGTGCGGACTCCTGACTTAGGCCTAGAAGGCGCCGACTGAATCGGTGCACCGGAGTCGTGACGAGGGGCTGAGTCTCTGGACTAGGTGAACAGGCCCGAGAAAGACTGTCCTGCATCAGGTTGTAGGCTCCAGAACCTCCACCAGTGTCACGATGTCAAAACAGAGGTCTTGCCGCAGAGATTGAGACACCAGAAGCAGGTCGGTCTTTTTAATAGAACGCGCAAGCGAGTTCTTCTTCGTCCGTTTCATAGTCCTTCATGGCAGATGCACAACTGGCATCGTCTTTTTTGAGCAAGCACGTGACAATATGGTGGTTTTGGGACGCTAAACCCCTCATATCAATCAATCAACGAGCACATCGAGGCACGTTAGACACGAGTGCTATCTGGCAGTTAACTTTGCAAACGAAGGAAGGCGTGCGCGTCCATGGCACGTGCCTGTCTCGATAAGGTGATAAAGTGGAATGCAAAGCGACGGGCAGGTGCCACGGTGTCTTAGCAAAATGTTGGAAACACTCTCCTTTTTGAGCATCGCGTTGCACTGCAGCGGGATGAACGCTATGGTCTTTAGAATTACTTGTGTTTGCCTTCTCTAGTATAAATCCACACATACAGAATACTGACTTGTTGCAATGGTACCTCAGATATGCACAAAAGGTGTTTTTTAATTGAGAATAGCACAAGTATGAACGTTAAAACTTGAGCAATAGTGGTGGGCTCTGCGGTTGGAATTTGCCGTTTGGAGTATTGCTTGGTGCCATTTGGGGTATCGTTACGATGGACAGATAGACAACCAGACCAAAACTTCAGCATCGAGGTACACGAACAAAGACTATCGTCTTTAAAACTCGCGTGCGCACAGACGCTATGGGGACGCCGAACAGACGACGCGACGCGCATGTTGAGCAGCGCTACAAAAGTCCACGGCAGAAAGACGGTCGTTGTGGCACCATGTTGTTTTGAATCAACAACAACCAGCTGAGAAAAATAGCTCGCTGTTAGTATACAAAGGATGCATGCATGATGGCCGAGTGGCTAACCGCATAACGCCACGGAACAAGAAGTCGCGGTAGAGCACTGCAAAGACCGTAGTTATTGGCCCGGGTCTGGCTCAACTTGGCAATCGTAGAAGTTTACCCACACGAACCCGGCCCAGTGACTCAAAGCGAAACCACAAGCACGAAAAAAAATTACCAGCCCGGCCTGGCGTCACCCCAAATCGGACTCGGCAAGGGCCTAAGCCAATAATCTAGGTGGCGTTGCCTGAACACAGGTGGTGTTGCCCAAATCAAGGCGTTTTTATAGTAGCAAATATGTACGTTTTGTTTAAATTTAGGATAATTACTTCTACAAAAGGGCCTCCTCTTTTGTTGAGTCGGGTGGAGCACATGTAACCATTACGCTATAAAGGCGACGCTCGTAGCATACATTCATTCATGCATACTTGTTTTATCATGACTGCTCAGATATCCCTGTTCGGTATTCTGCGCATGGCCTGTTCACGAGCTGTCACGTGTTCACGGACACGCTCGAAACGCAAGAAAGCCTCCGAATGCGCATGCCGTGCGTTTATCTCGCCTTGTAGCAGTAATTTGAAGGTTTCTTTCTTTTTTTTTTCCCAGTTGCAGATTGGCAGCTACGCACCATGCAGCTAGCTTGCTAGATGGGCGTCACTGTTCTTGGCCGGCGGCTAGCCCGAGTGCGCTGCAGTTTCTCTGTCTGTCAATAAGTTCACCGAATCAACGTACAGGAAAATGCAAGTTTAGGAGTGAACACCGCCTCTTCTTCCCGAGATTTGTCGCCGGTCACGACACGAAAGACGCCTGCAGGACTTGCGGTGCACGTCCAACAGTGACTGAATTAGGTGCCACTGCTTGGGGTCCGACAAAGAAAAACTCGAAAGTAACGTAAAGGTAAGCAGCCTTGAAGTGGCTGACTTACGGGCTCATTCGTTTAAAGTACTCGTGGATTCCCCCAGCAGATTGTACAGGAACAAAGGGCCGTGTTGCAGGCGCGAAGCGGTGGAATGTCTTCCGTCAGCGACTTGGAAGAGGAAGATGTGGGTGAGTCGCCTGTTGGCTCTGCAGCGTCAGCGGGTGGACGTGGCAACGGCATGGATGACATGACGAAAAGCACCAATGTTTCCAGGGGCAAGAGGCTGTCGGTGGAGCGCATCTACCAGAAGATGAGCCAGCTGGAGCACGTTCTGCTGCGCCCGGACACGTACGTCGGCTCCGTCGAGCCCGCCACGCAAAACATGTGGGTGTACGACCCCGAAGACGACGGCGGTGGCATGAAGCATGACATTGTCACTGCCGAGCAGATTACAGGGCGCCTTATCGTGCTAGTGCTGCAATTTTAAGATTTTTAACCAGTTTTATATGCATGTTAAACCACATTTACTTCTCCACAATGGAGGAAGCGAGAATAATCGGGCTGCTTTTTTTTCCTGCGGCGATTTGAAATTAGTTCCAGAAAGTTCCTCACATAGCTAGTGTGCTGGCAACCTCTGCTGCTCCCTAATAACAGCTTGCAGTTAAAATCAAGTTAAGTGTTTTACCTTTGACAGTACTGGCGTGCTATCAGTCGTAATAAATTTGCAACGTATTTAAGGATTTACCTCTTTACTTGTTCTGTTTGTTGTTATTTGCATTGTAGTGAACAAGGACCCCGTCAGTTCTTGCCGCCGGTGTTTTGACGCCGCTACCGCTTTTAGTACAGTGTTCACATTACAGCATTTATTTTTATTTGGACAAATATATATTCGGTGTACGAATTTCTCGGGCAAGACATGCTCCAAAGTGTCCACTAGTGGCGCCGTGTATGGGCGCGTCGACTGGTTCGCCCGCGAGGACTGTGCGTTGCGCACTTCAAAGGCTTATTCACAATAGCAATTGACACTCGCTAAATGTGCTAAAAAAGAAAAAAAACCGCAGGCGTCACATTTGCAGGCGTCATGAAGCGCAGGAGCGTCACATTCGTGCCCAGCCTGTACAAGATATTCGATGAGATTCTGGTGAACGCGTCTGACAATAAACATCGGGACAAGAACATGGACTGCATCAAGGTAGGAAGAGTCGTGCGTTCTGTTGGTGCAGTAACTTTGTCTGTGATGTACTTTGTGCCAAATAGCTTATAGGGATCCTGAAACACTTTTTCAGCATGGTCAAAAAACGATGCCAATCAATAGTCGAGGCTCCCAATGGCACGCGAGCCGAAGGCGCAGGACGTGGTGTGAAGTTTTAAGTGTGAATACACTTTATAAGCGACCCCAAACCATCCACCGCCGTCGGCGGCGTCCGCAGTCTTCTCTCTATCTTTAAAAGAAAAAGGACTTGGCGGGCCGCAGCGCGACGCTCTACCGAATAAGCCACGGACGCGACGCTGATATCGGTGTCAGTAACGCACCTTATATCTTTAACGCCGCTGCGCGCGTCCCCCTCCCCCTTCGCTCGCTCCTCCGCTCTCCTCGCTCGCTGCAGCTGCGCGCGCACCCCTCTCTCTCGCGCGCCCGCCTTCTCTCTCAGTCTCCCGTCGAGAGCGGGTCGTGCGATGGATGTCCCGGAGGCAACGCTACCATCAACAACGAATGCAGTACAACCGAATGCCAGCACTGCACCCGTCGTTGGAGGTGACGGTACCGCGGTGGTTTCGCCGACGTTGGAAGACAAGGCGGCGCTGCGAAGGGCTCGTGAGACCGAACGTAAGCGGGCGAAGCGTGCAGCGGATGCCGAACTGCGTGCTCGCGAGGCCGAGTGCAAGCGGGCGAAGCGTGCAGCGGATGCCGAACTGCGCGCTCGCGAGGCCGAGGACAAGCGGGCGAAGCGTGCAGAGGATGCCGAACTTCGCGCTCGCGAGGCCGAGGACAAGCGGGCGAAGCGTGCAGCGGATGGTGAACTGCGCGCTCGCGAGGCCGAGATGAGGCGTCAGCATCGAGCCGCGAACGCGGCCCAAGAAGCGGAACGACAACGCAAGCGTCAGGCGGAGAAGGGCGATGAAGGCCGGCGTCAAGACGCCGCTCGCAATCGTCAACGGCGAGTGGACGTTCCCGAAGCTGTTCGAGTCAATGAACGTGCCGCGCGGGAGAGGGTGCGAGCCCTGGACTTTGCTCGTCCGGACGCGCGTTTCAAACGCGACTTTGTGGATCACAGCTTCGGTCACAGCTGCGCCGTGTGTGACCGGCTGTGGTTCGATAACAAATTGAGCTGCATTTCAGGCGTGAGGAACGAGACGAACAGGTTGAACGCGTTGCGGGTTCTTTGGAACGAGTTCGGAAGACGGTCGGGCGAACACCGATGCGACGGCATGGATGCGCAAGACCCGCGGCTGGCTCCCTTCGGTGCGTTCCGGGTGTGTGCGTCTTGCCGAGAGTCCCTGCTGGCCGGGCGGGTTCCGCCGTTGAGTAAGAGCCACGGCTACGCGTACCCACCTCGTCCCGCGGACCTCCCCGATCTGAACCCGGTGGAAGAGCGCCTCATCTCGCCTCGACTCCCCTTCATGAGCATCAGGCGGCTCACGCGGGGCAACGGTCAGTACGGCATTAAGGGACAGATCGTGAACGTGCCCATCGACGTTCCGAGCGTGGTGGAGTGTCTTCCGCGGCTGGTTCCCGAGGACGTTGCGATAGACGTGCACGTGAAGCGGAGGCTGGTGAGTCCGGCTACGTACAGGCGCGGACTGGTGAAGCGCGGTAACATCTTGGCGTGGTTGAAGCACCTGGAGCATGCGCCGTTGTATGTCGCCAGCGGCGTGCACATCGACTGGAGTCGGCTGGGTGTGATCAAATTGCGATTCCCAGGTACCATTACACTATAAAGGCACCATAGTGTGATTAATAAGTATAATAGTGCGAATTAATAAATACCCCTCATAGCATCACCCCGTGCATTCGCACTTAACCATGTTCACCCTCGGGGAAATGCTTGGGAGTTTTTTTAAGAGAAATTTTCAAAGTATGCTAGAAATCATTCCTTCTAAAAATGATGCCATATGCTCAAATGACTACGCCATATACCCGAATTCATGGTCATTTCCTTATTTGAGTGTCGTGAGCCACATAGTTATCGACGCCGCCATGTGCTCACGAGCGCTCTTGGTCACACTGAAGGAACACCGTGTGTTTGAAGAAAAACAAAAACAAAAAACACAGATCCCACGTACAGTGGGAACGCATGAGGAAGGTTGATATGTCACTTTAAAATCGGCAGGTGGATGTAAGTTATGCCGTACACGATTTCAACGTCATGATTATCGTGTTTGCGCCTGGCACTTCTTTGTCGTCCATTCACGTCACGTATACTACCAAATTTGGTATATGTGAAGCTAGCGAAACGACCGCGAGCGCCCCATGAGTGTGGCGTGTAGTCATGACTTACATGACATGGATATCATGATTTCCACGTTGGGGCCTACCACGTATGTTCGCCATGCAGTCATGTCATACCATACAAGCTTTAAAAGTTTTCATGTGAAGGAAACTACCGCAAGAGCAAGACCATAACATGTAACTCATGACAGTCATGACATACATGTCTCATGATTTTCATGGTATGACAAGTCTTATTCTCGTCATACAGTCATGTTATGCCATACCTATTTTGGTATTGACCCTATCATCGAAACGGCCAGGAAAGCCAGAACTCGTAGGCGTATAGGTAGATAGATAGACAGATAGATACAGATAGATAGATAGATAGATAGATATAGATAGATATAGGTATAGATAGATATAGATAGATCGATAGATAGATAGATATAGATAGACAGATAGATAGATATAGATAGATAGACAGATAGATAGATATAGATAGATTGATTGATTGATTGGTTGATGCGGTCAAAGTCGCCAAAGTTCGCGAATAACCATATGGTGTAGTAGCGCAAATTTACGGGGACGAAGAGGACAAGAAAACACGACACTCGCTACACTCGCAACTAATTTTTATTTCAGAAGCAGCACTTCATATATAACCCATAACCCTAGCGACACAGAAAAGAACTACGAACACTGAATCATTGCCAACAGAAGCTTTTGCGCAGACTCAAACGATAGTACACGGCAGTTAAGCTTAGACACTTTTAGATGACATAACTAAAACAGCCCTGGGTAACATCAAATCAAAAAAACCAAAAAATTTTGCGGGAATTCACACGTGCTTGAAACAAAACTTTGAAACGACAAAAAGGAGAGTATGACACATGCAAACACTGATCTCAATTAAGTACTTCGAGGTAGCTGGCTTCTCGGTTACTTAACGAAACCGATGACTGACTAATGCATCCTTCTTTTCTTTTTTTAATGTGAAAGGCTTCGACAATTTCTCTGGTTAGTTGGTTTCCATGACGGAAGACTACGGTTAAGTCACTGTACAGTGGTGAGCAGCCACACTGGGAACAGTGTCTCTTTATGTGAGAATGAATGTCAGTTCCTAATGATCGCTTGTGTTCTAAATGTCGGGTGTTCAAACAACATCGGCCAGGTATACATCGCATACAACAACAGCATACAACAACATACAACACATACAACAACAGGTATACATCGGCCAGACGGGTCGTTGTTTGAACACCCGACTTTTAGAACAGAAGCGATCATTAGGAACTGACATTCATTCTCACATAAAGAGACACTGTTCCCAGTGTGGCTGCTCACCACTGTACAGTGACACAACCGTAGTCTTCCGTCATGGAAACCAACTAACCAGAGAAATTGTCGAAGCCTTTCACATTAAAAAAAGAAAAGAAGGATGCATTAGCCAGTCATCGGTTTCGTTAAGTAACCGAGAAGCCAGCTACCTCGAAGGACTTAATTGAGATCAGTGTTTGCATGTGTCATACTCTCCTTTTTGTCGTTTCAAAGTTTTGTTTCAAGCACGTGTGAATTCCCGCAAAATTTTTTGGTTTTTTTGATTTGATGTTACCCAGGGCTGTTTTAGTTATGTCATCTAAAAGTGTCTAAGCTTAACTGCCGTGTACTATCCTTTGAGTCTGCGCAAAAGCTTCTGTTGGCAATGATTCAGTGTTCGTAGTTCTTTTCTGTGTCGCTAGGGTTATGGGTTATATATGAAGTGCTGCTTCTGAAATAAAAATTAGTTGCGAGTGTCGTGTTTTCTTGTCCTCTTCGTCCCCGTAAATTTGCGCTACTACACCATATGGTTAAATGATGTCTCAGCAACTAGCCCAGCTCTCAGCCCTACTGAACTTCGCGAATAAATTCTTCGCATTTAAAGAAGTGCTCAAGCATAGGCGTAGCAGCCGGGGTGCAAGGGGGGTGCGAGCCCCCCACTGAGAAAAGTTGGGGGAGGGAAGCTGAGCCCCCCCTACCACTTTCGACAGTGGTCACTCTTGGCTTCCCGCTGGGGAAACCAACAAGTAAGGCGAAGTTTTTCGTTACAGCAGTAATCACTCAATTGTGTTCTTACGGGAGAATCGAAATGTTACAAGACTATGTTGTAACATAGTGAAATTTCGCCAACATTTCCGCTATGATGATTTTCCTTTTAGGCTCTTTGCGCTGTAGGTCACCTTGCAATGCTTTCGCGTATTGTGCTGTAGTACTGCAGAGCAGGCAAGCACCGAACAGGGGCCATATATTATTACGTAACTTGTTCATGCTTTTATTCTTATG